AGAATTGTTTTTAACAAGTATCTGTTACATGCTCTAAGATGAGATTATTAGTTGCACAATAGTTATAGAGATGGTAATGGTACAAATCAGCATGATCTATTACAGGAAGTTGCTGCATATTCTTTTTTTTAAGTGATTTCACTTGTGGAAACATAGGAATATGTCCTTATGCCCTTCCCTGCTGTGGGGACATTTGCCATAAAAATCAGAGATTTGCTGCCTCACAGAGTTTCTGGTCCTTGTGTTCTTCTAGCACAAAGGGGATCAGTTGATGAGCCATGGAAAATAATTTCCTGCAGCTGTTGTTTTGCTCGTGTAAAGTAAAATAAGGTGATGAAGGCTTTAGTAACAATGTAAGTCTCCTTTACCATATTTTTAATGGAGCATAAAGAAAACACCCACTGCACAGGATCAGCATTCAGCAATAAACCACAAACAAATTCTTAGAGCCTCCTGCTTTTGGAGTCTCAGGTAATATAGGCTCAGGAATTCATGGCCCCCTTTCCCTACTTCTGGCAGTAGGAGTAGAGGTATGAGCAACTCATGATCGGATACCCCTCTTGAGCTGCAACCTTTGGTCTTAGTTAGGGACCTGGATATCATATGGCTACTATATCACCAGTCACTCTGGGAAAAGCCTATAAAAAAAACAAATGGTGAGAGCTCTAACTATTGGTCTAAAGGACATAAGAGAGGGTTGCACCACCAGCAGACATTTGGAGTGGGTTTAGACATGCTCTGAGTATGTCTACTGGATTGGGCGCCAAAGGCAGAGGAACACTCAGTGTGTGAATGAGAGTTAAGCACTGAGCAGCTGGGCAGCGTCAGGATGGAGGTGGCTGAGCACGTGCCCAGCTACCAAAATTTAAGCACTTTGGGGACTTTAATGGCAGAAACTTAAGCACATAGGGAATTAAGATGCCTATGGGGATAGGCAGCAACTGAGTAGGGGTTTTCTGAATGCCAGCGATGCCTAGATGTTGGACATAACACCCCAGGTATCTTATTTTGAAAACAGAGATGTAGCTGATAGAGACCACAGGACACGATAGCAGGAGTTATAGCATATTAAAGGTAACGTCATATGAAGTAGACCAATGGGTGGCAGGCAGGGGTGAAAGTAAGTCGAGTGACTTACCAGTACGCTGGGGCCAGCTCTGGCCCCCGGAAGGGGCGAGGCCTAGGGCGGAAGGGGTGGGGTTGAGGGGGTCAGAGCCAGCCCCAGCCCACCCTGATATGTAAGTGCCTCCCCCACCTGGGTAGCAGCAGCAGCAGCCCAGGGCTCCGGGGGCTATTTAAAGGGCCCGGGGCTCCCCTCTTCCACTGCCCTGGCCCTTTAAATAGCCCCCGGATCCCTGGGGTAGCGGGGGCTCCAGCTGCCTCTGCAGCCCCAGTCCTTTAAATAGGCGCTGGAGCCCCGCCGCTTCCCCAGGTAGAAGTAGGGGAGCCGTGGGCCCTTTAAATAGCTCCCAGAGCCCTTGGGAAGCAGTGGGGCTCCAGCGACTATTTCAAGGACCGGGGCAGCAGAGGCAGTTGGGGTCCCGGCCCTTTAAATAGCCCCCGGAGCCCCTCCCCACCCTAGGGCACTGGGGGCTATTTAAAGGGCCTGGGGCTCCCCTGCTTCTACCGCCCCAGCTCTTTAAATAGCCCCCAGAGCCCTGCAGCCGCTACTCCAGGGCTCCAGGAGCGGGGCTCTGGAGGCAATTTAAAGAGCCTGGGGCTCCAGCCACTGCTGGGAGCCCCAGGCCCTTTAAATTGCCCCCTGGGGAAGCCGGTCTGCGCCACTACGATTCACTGGCTCTTGCCGGTACGCCGTATTGGGCGTACCAGCTTAGTTTCACCTCTGGTGGCAGGCGTGAAGAGCTGATGTAAAGAGCTGCAGAGAGGAAGCCAAAGTGTTACTGATCTTACAAAACACAGGTATATGTTAATAAATGAAGCTTAAGACTATAAAAACAAGAAGAAGTCCTTATAGTATTTTAGAGACTAACAAATGTATTTGGGCATAAGCTTTCGTGGGCTAGAACCCACTTCATCAGATGCACGGAGTGGAAAATACAGTAGCAGGTATATGTACACAGTATGTGCTAGCAATGACCCTCTGTCATATACACTGGCCAAACCAGACAGTCTCTATGCAAAAGAATAAATGGACACAAATCTGACACCAGGAATTATAACATTTAAAAACCGGTAGGAGAACACTTTAATCTCCCTGGTCACTCAATAGGAGACTTAAAAATGGCAATTCTTCAACAAAAAAAACTTCAGAAACAGACCACAACGAGAAACTGAAGAACTGGAATTAATTTGCAAACAGGACATCATCAAATTAGGCCTGAAAAAAGATGGGGAGTGGATGGGTCACTACAAAAACTAATTTTCCCCCACTGTTACTCACACCTTCTTGTCAACTGTTTGAAATGGGCCACCCTCATTACCACTCAAAAGTGATTTTTCCTCCCTTGGTATTCTACTGTTAATTGAATTGTCTCATTAGCACTGACCCTCCCCCCCCCCCAACTTGGTAAGGCAACTCTCATCTTTTCATGTACTGTGTATTTATATTTGCTACTGTATTTTCCACTCCATGCATCTGATGAAGGGGGTTCTAGCCCACAAAAGCTTATGCCCAAATAAATTTGTTAGTCTCTCAGGTGCCACAAGGACTCCTCATTGTTTTTGCTGATATAGACTAACACGGCTACCACTCTGAAGCTTAAGACTATGTAACTATTTATGTGTAAACAGATATAAAGTTCTCTTCTATGTGCTTTTTGTGTGCCTGTGCTTCTTTATGATGTATAATGAGGGCCTGAAAGTTTTTTGTTTTGCTTTTTTCTCTTGTTGCTGTGTAAAAATATCTACAAATGACACAAAAGACACAACAGGGGAAAAATTTAAAAAGAATATACACAATGTGGAGATAAATGCACAAATTAAATGTGCTGAAAGGAAGATTTTTCTCTTTAATCTCTTATTTATCATTTTATGCGTGACTTAGGAGACAATATGAAAACTTTTAAACCTAAGTATGCACTTTAAACTGTTTCTATTGCAGTCTAAATAAAAATAACTTCTCACACTTGATGACTGATGTTATGATCCTATTAATATGCCATGAATTTAAAATCTAAAAAATGTTTCATATCTTTTATATATAACCATAAAGAAGTAAACAAAGGGCACAATCCCAACAATTCTCCTTTCTTTTTAGGACACCTATAATGCAGCTAGATCAGTGGTTCTCAAACTTTTGTATTGGTGACCCCTTTCACACAGCAAGCCTCTGAGTGTGACCCCCCTTTAAAAATTAAAAACATATTCTTTTTAATATTTAATTCTACTATAAATGCTGGAGGTGAGGTGGGATTTGGGGGTGGGGAGGCTGACAACTCATGACCCCCCCACATAATAACCGTGCAACCTCCTGAGAAGTCACAACCCCCAGTTTGAGAATCCTTGAACTAGATCAATATGCAGTACTAGTAGCTGGAAGCCTGTATCATCACACAGGTGTAATTCATAAAGTCGGGTGGTAAAAAAGCTGAAAATGGTTGAGAATTTAAAAACTGGATGGTAACAGATTGCAAATCCCAGTGATGATTGAACCTGCTCATATTCTAACCAAAATTAGCTCTCTACCATACTTGTTGCTGTTTGTCACTTCACACAGACTTGACAGACATTCTGGTCTTCAGAGTGACACACGTAGAAAGTGACAATCCTGGAAGATTTGTTTTGATTTGTGTGAGGGGTGAATAAGGATGTGTGCTAGGGTGAGAGGATGTGAGTTTGAGGCAATTGTATGGGCTAGTTGTATTGTTTTGAAGAATTGTGGCATTTAGGCCCTGTAATCTACTACGTGTGCAGTCTCCGCCAGACAACCCATGGGACTGTTGCATGCACAAACATTAGCTGTTGAGTAAGGGTGGGGCGATTAGTTGAGTTACATCAGATTTCACAGTGGTGTTGAACTCTTGGCATGGGATAAATACATATTTTATATACTATAGCTGTCCATGGCACCAGTGTAATTATAAAGTCAAAATGGCTGAGAACTTAAAAACTGGATGAAAACAGACTGTGAATCCCAGTGGTGATTGAACCAGTGACATGCTGAACAAAAAGTGCTCTCAACCCTGTTTGTGATGCAATGGGACCATCTCTCTCAGCAGACACTCCAGGCTTTAGCAACAAAATTCTTGACCCTTATTGGAGCACTGTAACCAAAAGAGAACGAATGCATCTGATGAAGTGAGCTGTAGCTCACGAAAGCTTATCCTCAAATAAATGGGTTAGTCTCTAAGGTGCCACAAGTACTCCTTTTCTTTTGCCGAATACAGACTAACACCGCTGCTGCTCTGAAACCTGTCAGAGGAGACTACACTTCCCAGCATGCATTGCGATCGGAGCGTGTTGTGGGTGTGTGTCTCGCTCTCTCTTCCCCCCTCTCTCCACACCCACCCATAGTCAGCCTCAAGACCACTGACACTACCAATCCCACCATGCTCTGCTCCTTAGTAGGTGGAACTAGCTTGGTCACGCATGGCATGTCGGGATTTATAGTTTTGGTTATTTTTGGGGCACTGGCTCTATGAAGCTGTCTCAGGTTTCCCGCCAGGAATGGAGTGAGCGGAATAGCGTGAAAAAAAAGCGCGCTGTGTCGGCCGTCAGTCACGTGCCCTTACGCCGCCGCAGGGGGCCGCGCGGAGGAGCATCTGCGGAGTGCGTTACTAAGTAACGGTGTATATCCATCCGCCCCGCCCCGCCTCGCCTCCGCGTACAGGGGAGAACCAAAATGGCGGCGAAGGTGGCCGTTGAGTCTTGCGTGTGAGGGTCCCTGTCCCCCCCCACCCCGCAACCAACAGGGCCCGGTCGGTGCCGCAGGGCCCAAGGTAGCAGTGCTGCTGCCAAGGTAACACCGCTGCCCCGCCGGGGTCTGGGAGCCCGAGTCCGGCCGGGGGGCGGGCCTGGTTGAGGGCCCCGATCTCGGTTACCTAGAGCTCCTCCCAAGGCGGGATCCTTCCCCAGGGCAGCCCCGATGTTATTCCAGCGGCGCCGCTGCCGCATTGTTCCCCTTCTCTCTGCCCGCGTGGCCTTTTCCCTGTCGCTCCCCGCGGGGAGTCCGCCGCTCGCTGCCCGGCCCGCCGCACCGGAGGCGCCGCGGAAGGGAGAGCTGGGACGGGCCTGTGTGGAGCCCTTGGCCTTCGCAGCCCGCTCGGCCGGGCCGGGCACGGCCCCCGCGGGACGGGGAGAGCTGCGTGGCGCTCGTCTTGCCCGGCCAGTGTCGCCGGGTCCCGGCGGACAAAGCGGCCGCCGACAGCTCGCTCTCTCACGGAGCGGCGTGGGGGGAGGCGCCGGTTCTGTGCAGCGGCTCCTCGCCCCAGGGTGCCCGGCCAGCTGCGCCGGTCGTTCCCGCCGCGTGGAGGGGTGTTGGGGGAGGGTATGTTGCTCGTTTCTCCGAGGAGACGCTGCGCGTTCACGGGCAACGGCCGCCCGACCGCTTCCTGCCAGCGGCCCTTGGCGCGGAGCCCGCCCGCCGGCTTTGCCGCTGGGAAGGAGCGGGTCCGCCCTGCTAACGGCCTCCCCACCTTGTAGCGGTTGAGGCCGCAGCTCGGCTCCTCCGTCCCCTCTGGCGGCAGTAGGAGGTGGAGGGGGCAGGAACTTTCCTGCGCTGGGGTCTCGGAGCGACTGAAGGGTAGGTCGGTCCTGGGTTCTATTGCCTGGGCCTAGAACAGCGATCGTAATGAAAATGGACTTCAGCTGGGGCCCTTCGTGTGCCTGGCCGCTCGGTATCGAGCGTGTTTATGGGCGATTTATTGTGCTAGAGCCGGGGCTTCTCGGTACCCCCCTCCTTCCCCACACCCCACTGGAGGGACATCTCGCCGTCCAAGTAACATTCCTGCCGCAGTGTTTTTGTTCACAGTTGTTTGTGATACATGTGAGGATATGTTTCAAAGTAGCAGCCGTGTTAATCTGCAAAAAGAAAAGGAGGACTTGTGGCACCTTAGAGACTGACAGAATTTTATTTGAGCATAAGCTTTTGTGAGCTACAGCTCACTTCATCGAATGATTGTCAGCTGAAAGAGATTAGAGAACTATTTCTCTGGGATTTTGTTTGTTTACATCGTGGGTTGGCAACACTGCTTTAGTCAGTTTAATGTATAGCCAGCTTTCTCAGTTGCTTGGATCTCCCAGTAGCAACAGAATATGAAGGCAAAACTGGAGATTAGAAGGGGGATTCATGAAGTGTCTGTGGTATCTGAAATTACTTTTAATTTAGCTTTTTTAAGGCTAGATTTTAAATTCATGTTGTCCCTTTTAAAATCTCTAGTTTTCAGAACTTCTGAGTTGAAGATTGTGCAGAGTATTTGATTCCCTCCACAATCAAATTACAAATGTTGAACATATGAGCTTTTACAGCTCAAATGGATACTTTAAAATTTGACAAGAGACTGTTTCATAACTTGTTGGAGTCACACTTGAAGTTGTAAGTGTACATAAAATAAAAGGCCTAAAGTAAAAGGTTACATCTTGGCATTGGTTTGTTCTTGTGCAAATGTTTACCTGACTTGTACCTTTACACAATTTGTTTATTGCCAGTATAATAAGATCAGCAGTTTTGATATTGGATTGTGTTAGGTCTATACAATACAAAATTGATGGTATGGATCATTAGTGCAAGTCCTGATAGAGTGAGGAGTTGGTATGTTGGCTTTCTGTGACTGCTTGATGATAAAAATGAGTGAACATTCTCAACTTTAAATTTTTGGAATTTTTTTTAAATTAGCTTAATGACCCATTTTTCTGATAGACTATCCACTAACTGCAATGACCTGATTTTTTTTTTTTTTTTGTATTTTAAAACCTTTAAAGGGTAGGAACTATTTTCTTCTTTGTTAGTGCTTCTAAGGGGCTCTTCAGCAAGGGAGATACTGACCAATGGGAAATGGTGAAACTGACTATATGCGAAGTGTCACCGAAAACCAGAGAAAATAAACATAAAAGATGTTAATGTGGCTTTTTGGCCCAAGGGCCACATGTGGGTTGCGAAACTTTATGGAGACTAGGGTAGGGAAGGCTGTGCCTCCTGAAACAGCCTGCACCCCGCCCCTCCCACTTCCTACCTCCTGACTACCTCCCTCAGAACCCCTGACCCATCCACCCCCCTGCTCCTTATCCCCTGACCACTCCCTCCCGGGACCCCTGCCCCTAACTGCCCCCTGGCACCCCACCCCCTATCCAACCCCCCCTACTCCCTGTCCCCTAACTGCCCTGCCCCCTATTCACACCCCCGCCCCCAACAGGCCCCCTGGGACTCCCACGCTTATCCAACCTCCCCTGTTCCCTACCCCCTGACCTCCCCCGAACCTCTGCCCTATCTAACCTCCCCCTGCCCTGTCCCCTAACTGCCCTGACCCCTATCCATACCCCTACCCCAACCGCTTCCAGGACTCTACCCCCATCCAACCCCGCCTGCTCACTGTCCCCTGACTGCCTCAACCCCTATCCACACCCCTGCCCCCGAGACTCCCACCCCCTACCCTGCTTCCCATCCCCTGACTGCCCCCACACACACCCCGAACCTCCACCCCATCCAACCGCTCCCTGTCCCCTGACTGCCCCCTGGGACCTTGTGCCCCTTATCAAACCCCCTACCTGTGCCCCCTTACCATGCTGCTCAGAGTGGCAGGAGCTTACAGCCCCCATTGCTGCACTGCCCGGCAGGAGTGGCGGATCAGAGTGCCGCCAGCGATGCAGTGCACTGAGGCTGCGAGGAAGAGGGAAAAGCAGGGCTGGGAGCTCAGGGGCCGGGCAGGATGGTCCCGTGGGCCACAGTTTGCCCACCTCTGTGCTAGGAAGTAAAGTGAAAGAAAATAACACACCAAGAAAAGACCAAGAAAAACTGAACTTAGTTTCACGTGCATGACATTTTATTGAATTAACTATTCGAAAAGAGCTGCATGTGGTCTCAGTTAAAACGAACGAATCAGAAAAAAGTTGGAAGAGCTGTATAGTTCAAGCTCATCTTGGTGAAAAATATCTCATCTCAAAGTAACAAATAATTTGCATCAGTTTCTAAGAATTGATGTGAGTCCAATAGGGATGCGGGTTTATTAGAAAACGTTTTAAAAACAAATGTAAGAAATCATCAGGATATGATAAGCTGCCTGGACAATGATTCAGCAAGGTGCCTAAGCATATGCTTAAATTTAAGCATATAAGTAGTCTAGTTGATTTAGTGACTGCTATAAACCAGGATTAAAAGTCCCAATGCCACCAAAATATTGGTAAATAGGAGAGAAGAGTTACTTAAGATTTCAGAAGTTTGCATAGGTGTAACTGACCTGATTTTGGAGTCTTACTTAAGTGGAAATACTCAATCCTTACAGGAGTTTTTATGTAGTAATAAAAAATGTATCTGATGTGCGTCTTACTTCTGTTAGATGCTAAGATAAATATTGCCCATTGTTTTTTACACTGGAAAAAAAATGGCTGTTGTGATGTAATCTTATACTAGACTTAGACAAATTGTATAACATCATAAGGGAAGAATATACTTACCTAGTTTGATTGTAAACCAGATGATCTTTAATCTTGCCAAGATGAACTCGTTATGGCCAGTGATGTAGGTAAGGATAAAATGGTTGTTACACTGTCAAGCCTGGCATATATTCACTTGGTGGATTTGCCCTTAATTGCAAAACGTATTCTGTGTTTGCACTTGGTGTTGATGGAGCATATTGATTTGAAATGAGGTCTCTATTAAACGATCTTTAATAAAATTTTGGATGACATACTGTTTTCCTCCTCACTTGTACACCTTTGGTGGTGACATCTGCTTGTAGCACCAGGTGCACTGCCTTCTCTAGTTTAGGTGATTATGCTTTTGCGTGGCAAAGTCTTTACTTTTCCCATCAAAGTCACTGTTTAGTCCTTTTTAAAGCATCCTTTCCTCCCTCAGATTCTTGAAATACCCTTGTAGGAAAGTCCATCAGTAGTATGTCTCTGCTGCTTCTGCTCAGAGTTCTTTCATGTGGTGCCAGCAACAGTGTTTTAGTGCTGTTAAATGTGAATAGTGTACGTTTTAGGTTTGTGCTCACCTTGATTTATCAGAGATGTCAGTTGATCTTGTCAGGTCTCTTAAATATACTGTGACACGCTCCTTGCAGAGCCCAGAGCCAAAAGCTACTGTGTTACCCCTCTGCCTCAGCAAGAGATGCCTTTGGTGGATCTGTCCGCTCTTTGCTATCCCAGTCTGTTCTCCTCATCAGCAAACTTCTTGAGACTCTGCCAACCTTGACATTCAGTGAACCCTAGTTCCCGAGCTGCACAGGGGCTTCTCTCTGCAGTGTCAATCCCCAATCACTGAACAGTCACCAAAATTATCAAGTCTGTTTCCTTCAAAGAGACATAAAAGCCAGTTAGTTTATCTGAGGACCCACAGTTTAATACAGAGGACTGAAATGATTTTATGGTAAAACTAAAAATAAGTTTATTAATAGTAGACAGGTTTCAGAGTAACAGCCGTGTTAGTCTGTATTCGCAAAAAGAAAAGGAGTACTTGTGGCACCTTAGAGACTAACCAATTTATTTGAGCATAAGCTTTCGTGAGCTACAGCTCACTTCATCGGATGCATACTGTGGAAACTGCAGACACATTATATACACAGAGACCATGAAACAATACCTCCTCCCACCCCACTCTCCTGCTGGTAATAACCTATCTAAAGTGACCACTCTCTTTACAATGTGTATGATAATCAGGGTGGGCCATTTCCAGCACAAATCCAGGTTTTCTCACCAGCAGGAGAGTGAGTTTGTGTGTGTGGCTTTTGGAAAAGGGGGAGAGGGTGAGAAAACCTGGATTTGTGCTGGAAATGGCCCACCTTGATTATCATACACATTGTAAAGAGAGCGGTCACTTTGGATGGGCTATTACCAGCAGGAGAGTGAGTTGGTGTGTGTGTGGGGGGGGGGGCGGAGGGTGAGAGAACCTGGATTTGTGCTGGAAGTGGCCCAACTTGATTATCATACACATTGTAAGGAGAGTGATCACTTTAGATAAGCTATTACCAGCAGGAGAGTG